GACATTCATAACTTGATTTTTCATCTTTGTTATTCATCATTTGTCATGATTTGAAAATTATTGTAAAGGGAAAAAGAGATACAAAATTGTATTCTCCCCTTCTTTTTTACAATGATAAAGGGGGAGATAGCTAGCTTGTTCAAGTCAAGAAGATGTAAATACTTGCTTGCTTACTAGTACATCTAAAGTGAAGATACAAACGTACTTCATGTAGCTTTCTTCATGTAAAACATTGTATCTTGCTAGCTTATTATCTTGCATTATTTTTCAAAAACTTGCTAGCCTTCATACTTAAAAGAAAAGTAACACTTGTCAAATTGCTAGCTTGTATGTTGTAAAATAATATAAAATTTTGTTAGCTTGCACTTTGCAAATGAAACAAAAATGACACTTCTCAAAAGAGAAGAAATAGCTTGCTATCTTGAACATCACTAGCTTGCCTATCTTAAGAAGCAAAAATACAAACTTGCAAAATTTACAATCATACACATCTTTAAAATTAATGATAATTTAGTGATTATGCATGTTGTAAAGTGATATAAAATCTGCTAGCTTGCATATTCTAATATGATGTAACACTTGCTAAATTTTCTAGCTTACAAATTGCATGATAATAAATGTAATATTTGACATTATATCTCTAAACACTTGATAATTGTACTTCTCCTTTTTGTTGATGACAAAGGGGGAGAAGTATGATGTTATGCATTAATTTATGATAACATGTTGCTTGGATTTTTGAATCCAAGAGTTCTATCAATATGGCATATTGATAGGGGGAGTTTGTTTAAACTCCGGGAGTTAAGATTAATTCCGTCATCAATTGGTTATCATCATAAAAAAGAGGGAGATTGTTGAATCTCGGATTTTGATGATGAAACCAATTGATAGTATTTATGATTTGATTTGCGTTTTGAGTGACGCGAGATGCTTCGATCAGTGAGAGACAATTAAAGCAGGAAGAATCATATTGCGTCGGAGGAAAACATGTCAGAAGATTGGACGTTGGGCCAGAGGATCGGTCGACGTATCGACAGAAGGCTTCGGGCCGTGGATTCGGGCATCGGGCCAAGAAGAGCGGATATTGCGCCAAGGATATCGGAGTTGCGGAGGACAACTGGCCGATTGGACAATAGACCACAAGAGAGGACGATGCGTCGAAGAATCGGACCAAGCGTCGATGGACCAATGATATGCCGGACAACATGATTCATGCTTAGTAATAATTGTCTAGATCGAAGTGTGTTTTTATGTGTGCAGGATTAACTACGATAGTAAGACATAAAACAAAATGAAGTCCTGGAGTCATGAACGAGATTTCGTTGGGAGTTCAAGAGTTCGTCAAAAGTCCGGACGTTTGTCGAAAGTTCTGTCGGAACTAACCGAGAAGTCCAGGAGCTTGCCAAAGAAGCTCGTCGGAACTCGCCAAGAAGATCATCGTGAAGTCCAGGAGCTTGCCGGGAGTCCGCCGGAACATTGCCGAGAGATCGTCGGAAGTTCGCTAGAAGATCGCTGGAAGCTCGTCGGAAGAAACCGGACTTATTTAGCTTATTATATGCCTTAAAATTCGCAGTTAGCATATAATTGAGATTAGAATTGAGCCAACCCAATTAGGGGATAGTTGGGCCCAAGTTTGGGTTGTGTTAGGCTAAGAGAAAGGCCCAAACAGTAATCAATAGGTGAAACCATCGTGGCACAGTCTTCGAGACTGTGTCAGGTGGTGGTACCGCCCAGTGTCAGACTGCAGGCGATGATACCGCCCGTACCTTGAAATTTTAGGGGATTTGAATTTTTGTTTCATTTTCGAAGCCATTTGGAGTCTATAAATACCCTAGCTATTCCTGCATGGAGCATCAAGAAAAGTGAACAAAAACTCTGTGTTTCTAGAGTTGAAATCCCTCGTAAAGTATAGAATCCCTCCTCCTAAAGTTTATAGACCATTCTAAGGGAGAGTGTGAGGGAAGCTTTGTAAAAACTGCCCTTCCTTACTCTTACTTGCTTTACATCCACTATACGCTTCCACGCTTTTAATTTCAAGCTATCTTTCCGAAATTATTTTTATCGTACGAAGAATTTTTTGAAACCGATAATTTTACTGCTGCACTAATTCACCCCCCTCTTAGTGCCAACTTGTTCCTAACACAGACCTTGTATATTCCTGTTCTGGCTGCCCATATATTTTGATCCAGGAAACAACAATGCATCACTAATAACAATGTGCTTATATCTTATCCATGATTTATTTAATAAGAGATGTAAGCTTATCTTAAGCATCAAAAAGAGTGTCAAAGAAAAGTTGTAATTTAGGATAAAGCATACACTGCTTACTAGATCTGGCACTGGCTACTAATGGAATAATGCATTACAAGTTGCAACATCTCTTATAGAAATTGGTTACAGCTACCCATACTTGACAAGGAAAAGTTTTGATGAAAATTTGGATTATACGAGAGTAAGCTGAGTGGACTAAGTTACTGAACCCATACCAATCCGATTCTTTGATGGATTAGATAACCATACTACACAAGAGTGCACAAAGCTTAACATCCGAAAGTAGATATGAAGCCATGTGATGGCATCTCAGTGTAGATGGGGAGTTCCAAGGTGAGTAAAGGGACTAGACTCTCTCTCAGTTCAAGAATTCCAGAGTGTTTCTCCCACTTTGGACTTCAATTTGCGCATTGGCAGAAGGCGAATTTCCCGATGATCCCTTTCACAGTTTTGACAGGTTAAATTTCAGTGATTGGCACCTCAGGCCCTCCAATGTAGTGAGGTTAGCTCATCAGTTTGATTCAGTAGGCCAGCCAGAACACAGTATGACAATCACTACAGTCAAGAACCCAATTACCATCATCATCATCATTGGTATCATTAACTTCATTATTGGTTTTAGTTGACTCTGCTGGTCCAGTTAGATTTCCTGCTCATTTCTAGCTGATTTATTATCAATCCCACCAAATTTTGATCATTTCCAAAAAAAACCAAATCCATGATCTCATTTGGATGAGCCAAATCACAATTCTTATGATCAATCCTAAGTCAATGTCAATCCTGCAAACCTTGGTACAACAAACAACAGAGCTACAACAATAAATACTGTTCCACAGTCAAATTCGAAATTTCTAATGTCTAACATAACAATTCAAGTGCCCTTTGTTCCCTTTCTTGCTTTCCTTACACTTCATAACATGAAAATAAATAAAAGACTATTATCAATTAGTTCCTACATATCAATAAATACCAATTTTGCATCTTAAATCAATTTATTATCTTAGCTTAAGAAATCCAACCTCAAACAAAATCTTTAAAAGAAACACACATACTGGACTATAATTCAGCACATGCAACCTAATATCCACCTACTATTGTATCTAACCTTTGGCTTTCAATCCTTCATTGGTATTGAATTAAAAGGTCTTCTAATGCAACTTAAGAGACTTCAGTTAAATCAACTCATGGTTGCTCAAAAATTTTCCAGACTGCTAGGAGAATGCCATTCATATGTCTCATCTTATAATTGGACATCAGATCATATGATATTTATAAGAAATTTTAGTTTTTTACAAACATGTAATGCACAACAAACTGTAGGAACTTTTGCACAAGCAGCTGAAATGTCTCAAAAGAGCTTTTACGTTCACAAAACAAGAACAGCATCTTGGCATTACAAATTGGGCTAACTCAATTAATAAAAAAGAAACGAGTGAAGATTTAAATTCTAATCACAAAATTTCCTTTAAAGAGAGAGTACTAGTGACAAACTAGAGCTTTAACAGTATATCCAACAAAATGGGCTAAATTCCAAAGCCACTAAAATGGACCAATAAGAAGATTAAAAGAATTAAAGAAAAAGAGTGCTAATTTCCGCCTTCTGTGGAAATAAGATAACTGCATGTTTTGCAGTTGAAAAGGGAGAGAGCACAATGGCAGTGGAGATAGCAACAACATCGACAACATCCGAAACAATTTTTTTTCCCAATTATTTGGATTTGGCAGCACATTTTTATCCCACAATTTATGTTGTTTAGGACAACTCCAACCCACATTACCCATCGTTTCGACATGCACGCGGATGAACAGTTGTATAAAACATCCAACAAGTCCAACAAAACAACAAAAGAGAATCGAACATCTAAAGCACGCAATTTTAATTCATTCTCACGACGTCTAGAATAATTTATCAGGAAAGGTATGTTCGATTAGCAAATGGAACTGAGAAGAAAACGAGGAAGCAAAATTGTTCATGCTAATTAACCCCAAAAAGGAACAGTTTTGATTACCGCATATATCTGGAAAGACGACGAACGAGACAACGGTAATAGCAAAAACTAATCCAGGCAAAATCATCAAGAAATCATATGAATCCATGTACTAGAATTTGTTACTGAAATAATCGGAATCGAAGGCATACCTTGCACCCTTCGATCGAAGAGAAGACACTCTAGAATCGTCCCTGGAGGAAAAAGGTAGGGAAGGGTAAACGAGAGGGTGCTCTTGGATGAGGGTTTTTTCTAGCTGTTACATGACACCTGTCGGGAGCCACATAACTTCCAATCACAAGGAAGGTACGCCCGCGGGTTGCAAAGTCCCTCGTTTTCTCTTCGGTATGTTCTGTTGGGAAGTCGGATCCACTACACCCACAGAGCTTTCTGAAGGAGACGTGGCAAATAGGTTATGGATGAACGGGGATTTTGCTGTCTGATAAGCAGGAGGTTTCTGATCGCCTCGAACGGGAACACTTTCTTGCTCACAAGGCACGACGAGTTTCACCGACACACTGCGAACCGCTGTCCAAGTGGGTCCCATCGTTTCGTCCATGTTGGGCGCGCTGGTCGTCCGCAGGTGGGTCGGTGGAGTCTGTCCAATGGTTCGAGTAGGAACGTGGCAAACGTGCCAATGTCGGAGGAGAACGTGGCGAATAGGTACTGGCTGAAAGCACTTTCTTGCCGCAAGTCACGAGTGAGCTTCACCCGATGCACCTCCCAGGTGGGTCCCACGTTGCACCCATGTGGTCCCGACATGTGTCCTAACGGCGGGCCAAGGAAGAACCAACCGACTCGGTCTGTCAGTTGGAAGCCCCGGAGTTGGTTGGTCCGCATACTACTTAGTGGGACCTCCCTTTTCCCGCTTTCTTTGTGCGCGCGTGCTCTCGCTCTCTCTCTCTGAGTCAGTCTTCTTTTCATCTCTGGTTTTGAACCCACCTCTCTTCTCTTATTTCTTCTATCTTCTCTCGGGCCGTCAAATTTCTCCTACCTTGCTCGATCCCTACTTTGCAGGTTTCCTTCAGTCTTCGGGATTGTTCCCAATCATCAGAGCAGCAATGTCCAAATTGCTGGAGATTCTGCGGAAACTGCTCCAAGATTGTCAAAAGGACCGTCGGCTTCTTCAAGAGGAGTGGGATGCTGTTGGTTCCCAATTGAAGTCGAGGGGGGAAACCTTGTGAAAGCGCGATGTTCGTGTTCTTTCTCCGCCTAATCCATCGATCGGGATTTTGTTGCTTCTTGGATTCTTCTTTTCTTGTTCGGTCGTTGATTCGTTTTTCCCAAAGGCTTTACTGTTTTTGGCGGTAATGGTTCCGTCTTGCTTATGACAGTCTGAGACAAAGAGGAAGCAGAAGGAGTTGGAGGACTGCAAGAAAGCAAGGGATGACGCCCAAATCCTTTACAGTAAGCTGGAAGATGAGGATCTAGAGTACAGGAAGCAGGTGAACCAAAACCCTTCCACAGATGGAGAGAGGCTCTTCCAGCTTGCCGCTAAATTCCAAGAAAATATATGAGATGAAATAACAAACTAAAGAACAGGATCAACATTAAATGATGATGTGATCCCAAATAGAACAAAGCATAGGTTGATCCTTTCTCCAGTCGACTGCCTCAGCATTGTTCTATTTATTCTGAATATATATCACCTTCTTTATAAGTAAACACTCAAATTTTTATCTTTGTGTTTTCCCCTTTAAGAACACCAAATTGACAATAGTTGACTTTAGTGAAAATTTATGTTGAATAGAAAAGAAAAAATTACTATGTTGTGTTCCCTCAGAAAAAGGTACTAATTATTCCTCATTGTATAAGTAGATTTTAGAATCTCATTGCTTGTTTAATTCGTTTGAACAAAAGATAAATGACCAGTTTATGAAGCAAGATTTCTGTTTATGGGAAGATTCATATGAAGCTTTATAGTATTGCATTTTGTTCTTCTTCCCCGGTAAAGCAGGAAGCAAGATTTCTTTCTTTCTCTCTATTTCTATTTAATTCCCAGCTTACTGCAAGTTTTCATCTGCTAGAGGAAATAGAATTAGCTTGTAGCTACTCTCTGGTACTATTTTGCTGGATTAGCTTCAATTGAAGGTTGGTCTGGTAATTTCCTGCAGAAATTACAGAAAATGAATTTTATTTCACTATTTCATGCAGTTCTGCAGTTGTTTATCTTAATGAATGACAACAGTTCCATCATATGTTCCTTTCAGCACCAGAGAAAGTATACTTAGATGTGGCATCGAGTAGTGATTGTGGAATTTATTGCGCAGTTAACTTTCTTTTTACTGTTATTATACAATTACTTGTTCCTAAAAACCTTTTCTTAATATATGTGATGAGAACATGACCTTGTTCTGCATATTGGCATATCCATTACATTGGGAAATGGACTGCTTGTCTTGAATCACTGAAGCGAGGAAGGGACGGTCAATGAGGAGGAAAAAGACGAAGACGATGAGCAGCCTTCACATGATCAAGGAGATGATAACAAACAGTACGACTGCTTTCTTCCCAAAATCTTTGAGCAGTATGTTGTTCCTTTACACAAACAAAGTTTGTTTGGCATATTAGTCGTTCTAGTTGCAGACTATTTCTTCTGATATCTACAGCTTCGAGTTCAATTCGGTTGCGATGGATGTCTTGTCATTGCTGAAGTATCTGTTGCCGCATGCTCAAGAATCTGTTCTGATGGCAACCTCTCTCTTCACACGCCGCAAGAACACTTTGTCACTCGACTCATTCGAGGTAGATTCTTATCCTTGTATTCGTATTGGTTAGAAGAACAAGCACTGCCACTCCCTACTTCACTTTCGTTGTAATTGTTCAGAAATAACGATCATGAACTTGTGATGCTGTTTCATATTTGATACATGCAGTTCATTCGTTGAGTAGTCTGAAATGGTTTAAGGTCTGTCACCCTTCGTTAGCCGATACTAATTGTTAATCATTAAGTGTTATTGTTTCCACAGCCGATTTGATTAAAGTGGGAGAGTCAGATCACGAGATACTAATATATCGTAGAAGTAAACACAGCATGAGAGTGGGAGAAAACTATTGCCTTTTTTTTCGTTAAAAGAACAAAACGATGAGGTCATTTCTGTTAAGAAGTTAAAGCATATTTTGAAATATCATAAATTAATATTTTTTATATTTTAACTGATATCAAATAGAATTTTATGAATAAAAATTCTTAATTTAAAATATATTTTAGAAGATTTCAAATAAAATTATATAGAGTTATAAAAATTAGGGAGTCTTATATTTTACATATGTAGATAGGTGGCATATATCAATTCAAGTTTCAATTATTCAAGTTAAATTTAAGAATCACTTAAGATCTATAAGTGTTTTCTTTAGAAGTTCAATAAAATTTTTCTTTACATTTGATCTTCCTTTTCGAATAAGTGTTTTCTTTACATTGCATGTGATCTTCCTTTTCTTCACATAGTATTATAACCACAAGAGTAGTAATATGTGTTTTCGATGATGAAGATAACTCTTTTTTTTTTACTATATAAAATTATAGTTGAGTTGGTAGATTCGGTATTAAACTTCTTAATCAATCTAACTATAAGATTTAAAAGATTTGTTTAGAGTCTTACCTAATAGGAGAAGATCTATAGGATATAGTTATACAACAATATCACTGGATGAAGACGTCATAAAGAGACGAAGGATTTTAAATATATAAACTGAATTTGTATTGAAGACATCTATTTCTTATGATATCTTTGAATACATTATTTGTTACAAATCAGCTTTAGAGATTTAAATCACTTTTGATGCATTGCTCAATAAAAAAATATAGCTTGACTTTAGTAATTAAAAAATAATTTGACGAATACTATCCAATCTCTCAATTTCATAATATTTTTGAAGATTAAAAATTTATGTTCAAATATATTACTCTTATATCTAAATGAAACTTTATATTGTTTATGGTCTTCGAAATTCATTTATTGAAGGATGGGTTCAACAACTATCCTTAATAGAGTTAGAAAATTTTCTTGTTTCTAAAAAAATCTTAACTTATCAAATGACGGAAGCTTCTATTTTAGAGGGAGATGGAGATATTTTATTTTTTTAAAAAAAAGATAATAATAATGATAAAGAGAAGAAAGATGATACTAACAATAAGCAAGAATTTTTGTCAAACAATTATGCAAATCGAAAGAAGATCAAGTGGTATAAGTACGATAAGTTAGATCATATCAAAAAAAAATTATTGAAGATTGAGGCAAATACTTTTTGGTTGAAACTACGTACATCTATTAATTTTGAAACTACTTTTTGGTGAAGCTATTGAGAAACTACTGAGATCATTTGTTCTTGGGCTAATAATACCTTACATCCTTCCTTTTTATATAATTTCTTCTATTATTATTATTTCTGAAGAATATAATACAGATCAATAGAAAATAGCAAATTTTCTTTTCTTTTTTTTTCTAAGGGATCGAGCTGCAATATCAAAATTGAAGAAATCGAAAATCTCTTGTTGTCCATTTAAAAGTCCGATAATAACAAAGCAGGCAAATGACAGGAGTAAAACACATACAGCAAAGATCCTGTGCCTATCAGCTTCTCAGCACCACGCTTCACGTTGCTTTCCAAACAGCATAAACGGAGAATTTGGCTTATTTAACCAGTCCAAAAGCCACATTTCTCACATTCTATAGACGAACCTCAGCTATAGGATCCACACAAGTAAATCATCCAAGGAGGGCACATCCATGTCCAATAAAACATTTGCATTAAATACCACGCAGTTATCAGAGAAATTTGCATCCATGGACTCAGGCAGAATGTTCTTGAGCCTCTAAAAATTGCCCAACACAATACTCTCTAAAACTATGGAACCCGTGAAGCCAAGTGAAAAAGCTACCACTGGAGAACCATCTCCAGTAATATCATTGGGAGACAGGCAGCAATTTTATGAAACCTATACATATCTATAACCAGAAAACCATAGCAATCAAAATGGGCCATACATATCAGCTCTTGACACAAGATTATTACATTAGCACAGCAGAACAAGTGGTCCTATGACTCCCACAGACCCAAGAAGGATGTTGACGCCCTCTGTGATATCATGTTATGATGGGCACAAGGGGAGACGGTCTAGAAGCTTATCATGCTGCAGGCTCCTCTTCGAAAGCATCATCGTCACCACCATCACTGTCACCATCATTGTCATCATCAGAAAACTGCATTGGTCCAAGCAGTGCGCTTAGACTTGCTCCATTCCATCTCCCAACAGCTCTCAAATGCCCGAGTGTCACAGTAGAGGAATGCCGTGAAGGTGACTCTCCAGCTTCATCTTCTTCAGTACCCTCTGACACAGTGCAGCTTCTAGCTTCCGGGAAGAACTTCAAAACCAAACTGCCGGTGCTCTCAAGAATGTCAAGACCTAGCACAGGTGATAGTGGACGGCCAATTACTTGTACATGGCACACACTTCAACATGCAAAAACAAATCAAGCGTTAGTTTATTGAGTCATAAAATCTAACTTTGGAATTTCTAACTGGACTCAGATGAGCAGGCTAATGGATGCTTGGCATGCTTTCAAACAGTGTCAAGTCTTAGGGTATCATGTTTCACACCTTCTTCCACATTTATATAGCAAATTCTACATACTCCGAACTATTATGAGCATTTGCTGCAGTAAAATTCAAATAAAATGAATCACAATGAAAGATGATGGGTAGTTAAAAATAAAGAAAGAAAGGAGGACATGAAATAGCCACAATTAATAAATTTCAAAATCATAATCATATCAATACTCACCATATATAATACAAATCGTCCGTTTCTTGTTTCTGGACCCTACCCAGCAACTCAATTTGCAATATTCCACCAAGGCAGATAACTGGGCTAGGAAGTTTGAACGATTGCAAAACATTTTCCTGGTTAACAATAATTTCAAAGGAGGTAAGAACTAGAAGAAAACAAAATTGTTCTGCTGGATATGTTTCAGAAGAACTAACTCTTGAACCTAGATCAAAAAGTAATAATAAATATTACATCCTCTGTAATTTGACCTCAAGCCCCAGCATGACATATTTACTACTATAACATAGTTAACATCCACCAACTTTTCCTTCACAAGTCACAACTGATGCAATTGCAAGACCATCACCCAACAGGTAAAATCATGTGCAATGCCACACTGCATTAGATGCATGCAGTTCCAGAGTTTCCTAATTAAGCCGTTTTTTGAAATTCATTATTATAGACCACTGAAATATTAAAAATAGTAACTGTAAGTTTCTATTAACCTGCTACTCAGTTAAATGAGTATCTTTTAGAACTATATTATTATGTTAGAAGAAAATCGACATTCACAAGTCACCTGCAACATTGGAAATTCAGGTGAAGTATATGTCCAGTAATAGTTGTCATCATCGGCTGATTGATGTTCTGCATACTCATTTGTGATACAAGAACTCAGTCCTTGTCCTAATCTGGAATAGCCCATCCGAAAACGTACAGACTTTGCTGAGTATACGGGATCACCAGGTTGAAAAAATGCTGAATAAATAAACACAATTATGGATAATCAATAGGAAGGAGCATTATCCAAGCATTATAATGACTAATAGGATATGTTAAAAAGGCAAACCTTTGAAAGGCCGTATCTTTATTTCGCTGACAATACAGAGATTTG